CTACCGTGTTTCCCCGAAAATAAGACCTACCCCAAAAATAAGCCCTAGCAGGATTTCTATGCATTTGTTAAATATAAGCCCTACCCTGATAATAAGGTCTAGTGATGGCCACGCATTTCGGCACAGAGAAGACATCCCCTGAAAATAAGCCCTAGTGTGTCCTCTTGAGAAAAAAATAAATATAAGACAGTGTCTTATTTTTGGGGAAACATGGTATATGTGTGTGTGTGAGTGTGTGTGTGTGTGTGTGTGTTCCTTGTACCTTTCCATTGGTGTCTATTCTTTTTTTGTCGTTGTTTTGGGTTTTTTGTGAGACAGAGTCTCACTTTTTTGCCCTGGGTAGAGGGCTCTGGCATCACAGCTCACAGGAACCTCAAACTCTTTGGCTTAAGAGATTCTCTTATCTCAGCCTTCCCAAGTAGCTGGGACTACAAGTGCCTGCCACAACGTAGCTATGTTTTGGTTGTAGTTGTCACTGTTGTTTGGCTGGATTCGAATCTGCCAGCTCTAGTGTGTGGTTGGTGCCCTAGCTGCTGAGCTACAGGTGCCAAGCCTGTTGGTGCTATTGCTGTTTTTTGAGACAGAGTCTCACTTTGTCACCCTCAGTACAGTGTCATGGTGTCATAGCTCACGTCAACATCAAACTCTTGAGTTTAAGCAATCCTCTTGCTAATCCTCTACTTGTAGTCCCAAGTAGCTGGGACTACAGACCTAGTGCAGATATGCTGCACAGCCACGCCATGCATTTCAGGGTGGAGCGGTAAGGGAGACTGGAATACCTTTTATCTGCCACAGCTCCTTTCTCCCAGCTCTTTGCACTTGCATGGGTGCGCATGTGGTAATCACGGTCACAGGCATCCTATTGTACAGGTGCAACTAGCTAGGGGAAAGGAGTTCACGCATCACTAGCGCCAGCCCCACCAACCAGGTCGGCTCCCCCTGTCAGGTTCCAGAAGAAGATGACTTAACTGTATTTGGATAAATGTAGATTGTTGTATTATACTTAATAAAAAATAAGACATCCCCTGAAAATAAACCCTAGTGTGTCTTCTTGAGAAAAAATAAATATAAGACAGTGTCTTATTTTGGGGGAAACATGGTTACCAAAAGGCTATGTTTTAAGAACCATGTATTTGTTCACAAATACTGACCTCAAATTTTAACTTTTAGGATTTCATATGAAATGAATAAAAAAGTGCTATATGTAATGTTCATCAGAACTTAATGAAACTATGAACTAATAAAATACTCAACAAAGAAGCAAATTCAATGGAATGGTTATTAAATGTAATCACTATCAATACCATGAAGAAACAAAAAATATTTTTTACTTAATGTTATTTCACAAATAAGGTACCCAAAGTTGTATTTAACCTCTAAAAAAATCAGAGTTTCATTCCAGAAAAACTAAAGGGGTACATAAAAATAAGTTGCTTTTTAATTGAGTGGAAGTCTAGTTATCTCTGTTCAATTGTGTTGTAAGCCTAAAACTAATGTAAAAAATAGTTTAGGCCAGGGTGCAGTGGCTCATGCCAGTAATCCTAGCACTATGAGAGACCAAGGCAGGTGAACTGCTTGAGGGCAGGAGTCTAAGAGGTCAGCCTAGGCAACAGTGAAACCCTTTACAAAAAGCAAAAAAAAAAAATTAGCCAGGTGTGTTGCTTTGTAGTCCTCACTACTAGGAAGGATGGTCACTTAAGCCCAGGAATTTGAGGTTGAAGGTGAGTTACTATGACACATTACACTCTAGCCTGGGTAACAGAGCAAGACCCTGACTAAATAAATACATAAATGAAATGAATAATAAAGTTTAGTGAGTTTTAAAAATGTAATTATGTCATTAGACACCCCCCTAAATATTTAAAAAGTGTAAGATAGTACTTTCACTTCTAGTAATGGCAAGGTAATTCTCCCAAAGACGATGAGAAACAAGATCAAAAACCCAAATAAGCAAGCAAACAAACAGAAAACCGCTAAAATAAAAAATTCTGCTGGAAGATAGCATGTAGTAGTCAACAAGATGGTGGAAGCCAGAACCTGGGACAGGGTGGAGGCTCAGGAGACATACATGCTAATGTCCACAGCTGTGTTATTTGTCATAGCCACAAAGGAGAACCAACACAAATGCCTACTGAAGTAAAGGGGAGCCAGGCACAGTGATGTGGGCCTTTAGTTCCAGCTAATCTCCAGCTGAGATGGGAAGCTTGACTGACCCCGAAGTTTCAGGCTGAAAGTGTGTATGATTACGCCAACCACTGCACTCCAGATTGGACAACAAAGTAAGATCCTATCTCTTAAAAAAGAAAAAAAGGTAGAGGGGACATTTTAATTACAATATTTTGAAATGAAAGAAATACTATCTAGAAATGAAAACACATGAACTGTTTGGTTATATATAACAAGACTAAACCTCATGAACATAATGCTGAGTGAAAGATTTCAGACACAAAAGACTACAGATTATCTAAAACCTTTATATGGAGTTCAAAGATAGCAGCAATATTCTACTTCTTGAAAATTTCTGGGTTGTGGTTATATTTTTTGCTTTATGATAAATTACTGATCTGTGAATGTTTATATTTTTCTGTATGTATATAATAGTCTACAATAATCAGGTTTAAAACCATATACAGTAAGGAATATGGAGATAGGTTTGAGAAGAGAACATAACTGGCATGTAAAATAACAGAACTATTTTCCAATAGTATGGAAGATTAAGTACCCAGGCAAAATTTCCTTTTGAAAAATAAAAAATGCTGAATAAGTTTTGGTGATCCAAAGACAGGACTCTAAAGTAATCTTAGACTGACCCTGCCCCTGGGCACCTGACAAAGGCAAAAACAAATCCTCGCTGAAGAAACCAATTATAGTAAAACCTCAAGACGTAAGTTTTTTGGGGGGTTAAAACTATGAAATTTTAATTTAAAGCTTATCTGAATTATATGGCTATATTAGCATATAAAATGAAAGAAATTATCCCTAATAGCCATTAGTGCTATACCCACCCCATTACCATTTCATACTTTTTAGGCTAAGACAGGAGCTTGGAGTCAAATTTATAAAATATGGCCAGGCACAGTGGCTCATGCCTATAGTGCTAGTACTTTGGGAGGCCAAGGAGGAAAGATTGCTTGAGGCCAGGAGTTCAAGACCAGCTTGGGCAAAATAAAAAATTTCCACAAAAATTTTAAAAATTAGGTGGGTATAGTGGAGCTATTCCTAGCCTCTGAGGATGCTGACAGGCACAAGGATCATTTGAGCTCTGGAAATCAAGGGTGCAGTGAGCTATGATCATGCAACTGCATTTCAGCATGACTATCAGAAGAGCAAGACTTTGTCTCCAAAAAGCAAAACAAAATAAAAACCAAATTTACAACATGTATAAGAAAACATGGCATCATAGGAGCCAGCAGAAATTATAGAGTAAGATTCCCAAGAACTTTAAACATTAGAATTATCACTCAAAGAAGCTATGTTTATTATGTTTAAATAAATAAAAGGATTAAAAATCCAAAGAGTAAAATGCTAGAAAAATGACCAAGAGAATAAAATATAGTAACTAAAGTGAAGAACATGGTAGATGGCTTAAAAGTAGGTTGCATCCTACTGAAAAGAGAATTTGTGAGCTAGAAGACAACTCTGAAGAAATCATCTGTGATATGTCTCAGAGACAAAAGAGGTATGATCAAGAGACCCTGAGGACGGGAGGAGAGATGTCGGAGGCTGGCAGAGGAGGGAATGGGAGTTGCTTTTTAATGGGGACAAAGTTTCAGTTTGGCAAGATAAAAAAGTTCCGGAGATAGACGGTAGTGATGGCTGCACCATACACAATAATGTGAATTTATTTAATACCACTAAATTGTACCCTTAAAAATGATCAAAATGACAACTTTTATGTTACCATGTTTCCTCAAAAATAAGACACTGTCTTATATTTATTTTTTCTCAAGAAGATACACCAGGGCCTATTTTCAGGAAATATCTTATTTGTATTAAGTATAATACAACAATCTACACTTATTAAAATATAGTTAAGTCATCTTCTTCTGGAACCTGACAGGGGGAACTGACCTTGTTGGTGGGGCTGGCGTTAGTGATGCATGAACTCATTTCCCCTACCAGGCGTCCTCAAACTGTGGCCTGCCTAGGACATTTATCCAGCCCGCTGTGTGTTTTTGCCACCGCTGCCTGTTCTGCTTAGCAGCCGATTGTCCTGGGGCTCGCAGTCTGGCCCTCCAACGGTCTGAGGGACAGTGAACTGGCCCCCTGTTTAAAAATTCTGAGGACCCCTGCTAGCCGTTCACACGTGCACAATAGGAAGCCTGCCACCGTGGTTACCATCCGTGCACCTGCGCCAAGTGCCAACGGCTGGGAGAAAGGAGCTGTGGCAGATAAAAGGTATTCCAGTCTTCCTTACTGCTCCGCAAAGAAATGCATGGTGCAGAATGGTATCTGCATAGCCCATCATTAGGTCTTATTCTTGGGGTAGGGCTTATATTTAACAAATGCATAGAAATACTGCTAGGGCTTATTTTTTGGGTAGGTCTTATTTTCGGGGAAACACGGTATATGTATTTTTCCACCCCGAAAAGAGTAAAAAGGCACGTGGTATACTTACACATTCAAATCATAATAATTCTTCAAATGTATTATTTCTTCAATATACCCATTTGCTACATCTGGAAATCTTGCTTCCTAGAAAGGATTAAGTACATCATTTATATTTCATTACTACAATGGCTTCAAATAACAACAAAAACCAGATGGCAAAAAGTATATAAAATGACTAAAGACTAGAAAAGGGCTATAAAGCAGGTTTGTGTGTGGTTTAAAATTCAATACTACATTCCCAGATTCATATCACTAAATGCAAGATCAAATCCAGAAAGGTGAAATCATCTGGTCCTCTGCTCTCATTTTATAGATATATTCTTCATTCTTTCAACAAATACTGAGCATCTCAGCCCAAGGAAAGGGAGCCCAAACACAAACAAGGTACAATAGCAGCACAAAACCCAGTGAGCAGGATGAAAACACTTGGGTGAAATAGGGTTAATAAACTTACTCAAAGGCAAACACTAAGCCCTGCATTATTCTCTCTACCCAACAGAGCTTTGTATGATCATTTTGTTTTTGTAGTTTCCAAAAAGGCAGCACTTAACCCTATGAAGTTGCTGAGGCTAAAATGTGCCTGATGTTACTGGAAACTGTGTTTTTAATTTAACTGTTAAGACATTTAAATACAAACAGCCACATGGAGCTACTACCATTTTAGACAGCACAAGTCTAGGTAATCCAATAAACTTACTGTATCGATTTCTAATTTAGAGTAAACTCAAGGCCTTTGAAAAAATGGTAGAGACTGGAGATATGACAGCACCAGGCTACCATGATATGCAGCTACAATCTCAGAGGGCTTCCTGGAGAGTTAAGTATAGATTAAGGAACTGCTGATTCCATTTTCATGTCTTCAGAGTTTCTCTTCTATATCCTACACATCAAGATACACACACACACTCTCTCTCTCTCTCTTTCTCAGAAAAATGAAGGCAGAGCCTGTGGCTCAAAGGGGTAGGGCGCCAGCCCCCATATGCCGCCAGAGGTGACGGGTTCAAACCTAGCCCTGGCCAAAAACTGAAAAAAAAAAAAAAAAAAACAAAAAAAACCCCTCAGTATACTTAGTTTCTACAATTAGTTATTCGATAAAATAAAACTTACTGTTTCCTTCACTAACAGTGCAACGAGCTCTTGATCTACCTCTGCAGCTTCTTGCCCCCAAATGTTTTCCAAGTTGGGCTCCTGAGATTCTTGCATTGGAAAGGCTGGACCTGGCTCTTCATCATCTATTGCTAATTGTTGGTCTTCAAACTCTCCCAGAGGATGGACAGGCTGAGGGGAAGAGGGGCCAGGAATCCCATCCTGCTGGGTTTCTGGTCTTGGAAAAACTGGCCTTGGAAAAGCTGGCCCTGGAAGATCATGCTGAAACAGCAAGGGGACCAATTCTGCTTCAGTCTGCCGCTCCTGAGGAACAACCTGGTTTGTTATCTCATGGGGCTGTTGGTTTACAGATTGGAAGTAAGGATGGTCTAACCAGCAGTCTTCTTCAATGGCCTGATCATCCACTATAGCAGCTGACTCTTCAGGATTTGATAAAAGTTCTGTCTCTGAGTCTTCAGATGACTGGTTTTGAGTTTCCAAAGGATCACTTTCTGGGAAAAGGAGGCTACTTTCTTCCAAGATTATGACTTTCTGCTCTGATCTGGGCTTGACAATGTCATCTGCTGCTTGGTTATGACTTGGTCCAGGTTTGGGTTCTCTTTTTGTTTGGTCACTTGGCTTAGTGAATTCAGAGACTCCAGGAGATCCAAGATCCAGAAATTCACCATAGTCATCCTCAGAATCATCCTGTGCCCCAGAATTAAATAATGGGTTGTTACACACTGAAAAATAGCTGCTCTTATCAGATTCAAATGCTGCTCTAGACTTTTTAGGCCTTTCTTCTCCCAATCTTTTCACATCTTGCCACTGGGCAGCTGGTTTGATGAGATTGGGCCGTGATGTCTGAGGTTTATTTGTCTAAGAAAAAATGAAATTTTAATAATAATTCAATTTCTTTCCTATGCTTATTCCTCCTTATTGAGTTTCTGAGACAGGAGAGGAAAGAAAGTAACACCCTCCCCTTTAACAATCCTATTCTTCACATTTAAGGTTGACATTTGATCACATTATACTATCTGTAAGAATCAAAGTAGTCATTCATTGACTGAAGCTTGAAACATAGTTTGAATTATAATTTAACCTGAGAGCAAACAGAAATAATTGCATAGAAGAGAAAATAATAAAAGAATGATAACACAGCAGAAGAACAAGAAATGTTCAATAAACGTAAGAAAAGAATCTAAAGCTCATTAATTATCAGCAAAATGAAAATTAAAACGAGATACTTATTTCCCCTTGTAAGACTGGAAAACTTATTTTTTGGGAGGAGAGACATATTGTCACTCTGTTGCCTGGGCTAGAGTGCCATGCCTTAGCCTGGCCCACATGTACCTGGGGGGTATAGCCACATGCCACCAGGACCATCCAATTTTTCTATTTTTAGTAGAGACAGAAATCTCATTTTATTTAGGCTAGTCTCAAACTCCTGACCTCCTCAACTGGGATTATAGGTGTGAGCCACCATACCTGGCCAAGACTAGAAAACTTAGAAATTGTATAGTATCAAGCATTGGTGAGAATGTGTGAAAACTTTTATACTACCATCAACTATTAGTGAATTTAGAAGAATAATTTTGCATTATTTATTAAAGCAAAAAATGTATATACTTATGTCATTATCATTTTTGTCATATCTCTTCTACAAACTCTTATGTATCTAAAAAGGGCATATACAAGGATATTCACTATCACATTGCTTGTAGCATTAAAAAAAAAAAAAAAAACTAGAGACATTTAAAAGTTTGTCCCTAAGAGAATGGTTATCTATTAACTGTTCTACAAAATACAAATTTCCCTCACCAAAAAGAGGTAGCTCAATATGGAGCTCAATATGTACTGAAATGGAAAACTCACCAAGAAATGCCATTAAATAAAGAAAAGCAAGTTGAAGAACAATACATATGCAGAATGATTCTATTTATCAGAAAATTAATGAGACACAAAGTAATTTCTAGAAGCATGTATAGGTATACGTGACTACATATAAATTCAAAGAAAAGATCTGGAAAAGTACATGTCACACTGATAAAAACAGTCCCTTTGGGAACTCCCTTGTCAGAAAGAGGCTGGTGAATCTCAAGTTTTGGGGTAAGTCCTTGAAGGGCTAACTCACTGAAATACACGCTACCTGAAAATGTGTTGGACCTCCCAAGAACTGAATGAACCCCAGTGTTGACGGTTCAACTTGTTGAATTTGACATGGTAGTGTCCTTGCTCTTCTTTAAGAAACTAATGTAGGTTCTCTCTAGAGAAGTATAACATTATTTAGGATCTCAAAATTTTCAGATACAGATTCACTTCATTTGAAAATAACTAGATACACAAGAATTTGGTGTGACAAGAGAAAAGCAAAAACAAGAGAACAAATAGACAACAAAGATAAACCTACAAAGGTTTCAGACAGTGAAATCATTAGACATGAATTCTAAAACAACAATTAGCATATTTAGGGACATAAAAGGCTAAGTAGAGAACTTCAATAGAGAAGAATCACATGCAAATTCCAGAATGGAAAAATACAATAACTAAAATTAGGAATTGATGGATGGATATATAGCATTTTAAATATATAAATATAGCTGAAGAGAGAAATTAATGAATTGAAAGCCAGGCCAAAGCATAAAAGCCAGAAAAAGACATAAGACGAAAATGAAAATTATGTAATAGAATACACAAAGAATGCAATGAAAAGGTCTTAACAACTATGTAACTGGAGCTTTAGGAGAAAAAAAAGAAGAAATATTTGAAGGCAAGATATAAACATTTTGGTTCTAAAGATCTTAATAGGATGAATTAAAAAATCTTGAACAATATAAACCTAGGTATAACATAACAAAACAGCCAAAAACAGATACAAAGAGAAATTCTTAGCAGCAACAGCAGCACTCACTGCTTTCAAAAGAACAAAAAACTAGCTTTTCAGCAGAAAAATAGAATCCAGTAAACATTAAAATAGTATCTTCTTAGTGTAAAAGTACCTGCCACACAAATTTTATACTCAATGAAAGCATCCATCAGCAGACCTGCAAAAAAGGAAATTCTATAAGATAGTCTTTAGGCAGAGGAAAAATAACTTCAGTTTTAAGGCTAGATATCCAGAAAGAAATTAATAACAACAAAAATGATAAATATCTGAATAAGATGACAAATACTGACTTTATACAACAAAACATAATGTGGGTTTAAAAAATGTATACACACTGGATGCTTGCAGTCCCAGCTACATGGAGGCTTCAGGCAGGAGTACTGCTTGAGCCCAGGAGCCTGAGTCTAGCCTAGGCAACAGAGTGAAACCCCCATCTCTAAATAAATAAATAAAATTTTAAAAGTACATAGAATTAAAATATATACCAAAAAAACACTACTTAAGTTTGGAGGGGTATACATAGAGTGGAAGTACTTTAAGGTCTTTTCTATCAAAAAGGAAGAGTTTAAAGTAGTCATTTATATATTCATGTTCTCTAATTTATATTCATGCTCTATATTCTTGCTCTAGTAAGGAGGCCTGAACTAGCCATCAAAACAAATTATATCGATTAGACATGACACCAGATGTAAAGAATGACATAAAAAAATAAATTGGGGCTTGGTGCCCGTGGCTCGGTGAGTAGAGTGCCAGTCATATACACAGAAGGTGGTGGGTTTGAGCCCGACCCAGGCCTGCTAAACAACAGTGACAACTGCAACCAAAAAAAAAAAAAAAAAAAATGGCTGGGTGCTAT